TGGAGTGCCTTCCTCCGTCGCCAAAGCCCGTCCAGCTCTTCTTGCATCCGGGGTTGCCCATCTTTGTGAAGCCTTCACCACCGTATCTCAACATCCTCTTTCTGCTTCCATAATCATTGAATCCGCGAATAGTATTGCTGCCTCAATCATCCGGCGCTTTTCACGACTGCGATAGGCTACACACACACGACATCCACGATGACTGAATGCCCCCATGGAATAATGGAAGGAGTGGGAAAGAATTCGACAGGCTGCAACCCGCATACCTCGAACAACTTGGAAGCGGACCCGACTATGGGTCCACCCTTTGACATCATCACTCCAAAGGATAGGGCCGAAATTCACAGCTTTATGAATGAACATGGGGTTCTGGACACCTTCTCGCAACTAGTGGAACTAGCTTCTGGCGGATCATCGTCCACGGGCGACCAGTCCTTCCTTTCCGATCTTGACAGAACTGGATACTCCACGAACGCGGATACAAGCATAGTCGGCTGTGGTGGCCCAATCATACCACCATTCGAACATTGCCAATCAGGAGACGACGTGCAAAACACGCTATCTATCGATCAACAAGTATACCCGAATGACCTCATGGAGCTAAATCTCAGCTCCACGGTCGAAGACTTGAGCATGGCTATTTGCCGAAGAATGCCGTCTGTTAGCCCGGGTGTGGACGACCACGCCACGTCATTTCTACTCGACAATACCCCAAGTGGTGTTAAAATCAGAGTTGAACAATTCTTCGAAATGTTCGCTGTGGATGTAAGTTCGCATCTCTTGCAGTGATTGATACCCGCTGATCCACATAGGACGTACTCAATCTTAAACATCTCAACTCGAACGACGAGTGGGACCCGCACACGGTGCAGATCGTGACAGCCTTGATGCCATTTGTGCTTCCATCGTGCGACCAAGGACCAAAGCGAAAGCGTGGCAGCAATGATGACGTTACGTCCCGACCTTCGAAGAAGAGAGACAAGAAGTCAATTGAATGGTGGAGAAGGTGGTCGAGGCTGACGCGCGAAGACATCGCACTCGACTCCGAGCAAGTGACTGTCGTGAACATGGGTCTAGGCGTCCTGCGAGACACCGGCGCTCTGGGTAAGCGAAACAAAGGTACTACCTTTATGGACGTCTACGCCGCGCATGTGGGCAATATGCTCGCTACAGAGCGTGTTACTGCGCTGACCAGCGTCCAATATGTGGTATACGCCATCTTCTTCCACATAGCCTCTACAATGGATCCTGCCAACTGGGTAGCGAAGGGCAACGCTGGCCAAGTGAGGGGGAAGTTCTGTCCGTCTGCGGTGCGACGCCTGTTCTCACATTGTGGCGGTTATGTGCCCGGTGGTATGACGCCGAATGTTTTCGCAGAGAAGTTACGCGGCTGGCAAGATCATGGGAGAAAGTACGAGTTCATCGGTGTGCACCTTGGCCTTGGAAGCATTGTGCATCTGGGATCGGTATTACACCATACGCAGCTCAAGACGATGACGAAGGGTGGCGAGCAAGCAGTCGATGGTATCAAATCGAGCGAGGTGGCCTTCCGTCATCTGCGGAAACTGGGATTACCGGAACTAGCGAAGCAGTCAGGTGCCGATGCGCTGATGCATGATCTCCTCTGGGAGATCTTTGGGAGCTTCCTCGACTTCCCGAAGCGGGTGGGTGATTCGCAGTTTCCTGCATTCGTCGAACACGCCCCCGCGCAGCTAAGTGCAAGCATCATCAGTGACAGCGGCAGCGATGATGGCCAATGTGATTGAGGGTCGGCGATCAGAGCGCGCGGAGAGAATTCCTGGGTGATGGTATAAGGACATAAGGGATATGTCTACGAGGGAGCGAAAAGACGGAGGGGCGAGACGACCATCGGCAGTATTGGAGTACTCACGATACCAAGTCGTGGCACCTAGATGCGAAGATATCTTTCCTCCCCAAAACCCTGAGACATTGTTTCGGTACTATGGAGATTGTTCTCGATGTCCTCGAAACGTTCACTTGTGTGTCCGAGCAAGCATTGTAAACGCAAGCAAACTTCTCTTTGTTCACGACCCCATATTTATCGCCTGGAAGTCGCATTCTTCAAGCCATACTTCCGATACTTCTTTCAATTCCCCTGGAAAATGACAACTCGTCCATTACAGAAGCCAGCCAATAGGTTTAGCAAATATCTGTCTAGCATGTTGGCATCCGTACTTGAACATGTCGGGACCAAGGCCGCCATAGGCTCGGCCGTAGCTATAGCTGGAGGTTGGTGGGCGTATACGTCATCTGGCCGTCTTCGGGGATTCCTACGGGCCCTCTTACGAACGCGCTACGCCAAACTCGCAGTTATCGTGGTGATTGTTCTGGTCGTGTTATGCTGCTCGGCTGATCCAATCTCGGACCGCACCACGTCGCCGTCTCAGCCAAGCGCTCCATTCGATCTGGATGATTGGTATCCCCGGTACAGACCTTTTTGGATACCAGAGAAGTATTCCGACGAACCCGACAAAACCGACGAAGCCAATGCAATCAACGCAACTGATGCAAACGTCAGCCCCAACGAGACCGACGACACTGAAAGGGCATAAATTGCGTGAACGTAGCTTCCAACAAAAAAGGCAAGGTGCGAGAGAGAAGTTAACATGATGCGCGCATGGTAGGCGGTTGCGCGAACTTACTCAGGCAGTAAGGACATGAAGAGCAGAGAGGGAGCCACTGAAACTCGTACGTAGTATAGCAGGTAGCAAAAATGCAGTTCAAATTCGTTTTTGCTCGGGTAATGTCGTGTACACTGCTCGAAAGAAGTTATATGCGAAACGCAATCGTTGACGAAGACTCATTCCTGCTTCCACGTAAATTCATGGGCTATGAACACAATCAGCGGTAAAGCCTCTGGAATCTCGGCATCTATCGCCATGTCTGTCATCATAGAGACGAGCCTGGGCGCACGTGTCTGTATCGTGGCGTCGTTCGCTGCCACCGTGGTGGCGAATATCGTCACGAACGGACTGCTATTTCTGCCGTACGGAGGAGGGGTGGCGGTATGAATGTTTACTCTGACAGGCGATTCCGTATGCGATCATTGGGTACTTCGGTCGTGATTTGAGGGATGTGTGTCGAGAGCAAAATTGAATTAAGCTGAGCTCGACGCTAAGCTAAAGCTGTCTGGTTCGGGGATAGCGCAGGGGCTGCCCCTCGATATCACGTGTTCCGGCGATTCTCGAGGTCCCCAGGTTTGTCCTCACCAACCTTATTACCACGCCCATCAATCGTTCTCCGACCAGCCCCTTCCTATCGACAACATCGCTGGCTTGAGTTCGCCATCAGCGATGACTCAAGTTCTTATGAAGTCTTCCATGTTTGACGTGGCAAAGGAGAGCGAGGTGGTTGTCTACTCTCGATGAGTGTCGCGTTCATCCAGGTCGGCAACCTCTACGCCGCGTAAGTCCTGCCTCATAGGGGCACCGCGACCCTCGGCATCCAGATTTGCTCGCTGCGCAATGAATGGTTTGAGAACATTACGGATTCGACGAAAATAAACTTTTTCAGTCTTCCGGGATGGCGCGCCCGGACGCCGTTGGTATCGCGATCCGCACGTATGGACCAACAGCTCCGCGGGAGACCTTGATGGTGCTACACCCGCGAATTGCAACGCCGTCTTGTGGTGCAGACCGCGCCAATGACCGATATATCTAGGCACAATGTCAGTTGAACTGAGGCTTATCGCTCCAATCAAACTTCATCGTATTACAATACGAACATCGCGACTTCCGAATACATGCGCCACCATCGAGCCTGTCAAAAACTGACAACTGCCTAAGATGTTTTTTCAGCTGACCTTTCTACTGCTCGAATCTCACTCTCAGTCTCTGCCTGTCCACGTCAAACCGTGTCTTCCACCGTAACCGCTACCATATTCTCCTACTCCAAGTGGCATCGGCGGCAAAGAGCCTCCCATGCCGAGCCAGCCTACCGAACCTTCTTGGAACCACATGAACTGCCTTGCCAACCTTTTTCCATAAGTCCCCTTCTCCTCGTCCGTCATCGCATCCGCAGCGTCATGCAGTCGTCCGAACAACTCTTCGATATACGCTGCGCGAGCAACTTCCGACATACCAGACATCCCTTCGCTACGCTCTCGTACAAAGATGACACCGAATCTTGCCAGCTCACCGCGCAACCTGGTAATCCAAGCCTCACGGTCAGAGGGCTTCATATCCGCTGGTATGGGCACGCCACGGAGGTACCAGTGAGGACAATTGAACGATGCACCATTACGGCCGAAGAAGTAGCCAAGAACAAGGACTAGGCCGAAGAGTAGGGTGTTTTGGATGCCAAGGTAGAGACCGACAGTAGTCGCCAGAAGACTGAACAGGCCAAAGAGAGTGTTGGGGTGCATGAGCCACCACAGGGCATCGATAAGGCAGAGATAATCCATGGCTGAAGTCAAGTCTGAATGGATGACCAAGGACGCGGGACGGTGGCTTCGAGGTATAGGAAGCAAGCTTCTGCAACCGGAGGTGTAAAATTCCGTTCAGAGATCGTTCGCAAGGTAGCAGGGTAAACGCCGTCCTAGTTCAAGAGAAACAACGATGCTTTATGTTCTTGTAGGTTGTGTAGAAAGCGCCCACGATGGAAGTGATCAGGCTCTCGGACGACGCTTACAGCAACGAAAGACTCGCATCCGGCAAAATCGACGAGGCCGCGAGTCTTTCTGTTTCACATTTGCGTCGCAGCGAGGCAAATTTTCTAATGTCACGCGTGCCCCTCAGACGACGCTCGTGTTTTTATTCAGAGTGATAATATGTAATGCGAAACTACACGATACTTGAAGCTTTGTTTGACAGACCAAGCTCCTGCTTTCTATCAGCGTGACTATATATTCCCGGGTCGAGGCACCCACGTCGCACTAATCCCATATTCAATTCGTGATCATCAACTATACCACATCCATCACATTAGTCTGAAACAAGGATACCATCTCTTTCATTGCGCGCATCGCCTCTACCAAAAATATGGCATCATCAGGTTCCAAATCTTTTCAGGACCTCCAAAACAAATTCCTGGAAAGCGAAGCCAGACGTCCCGCGAACGACACCCTTCATTATTACCGACAACAAAACCAAGACATCACCACACGCCTGAGCCAGGCTCTCGATAAGTTGAGCGAGTACGACGAGCGCATTAAGGAGGCCCAAGCCAAAGAGCTCGAGCTTATCGATGCCAACGGACGCATCCAGTTGCTGGAAGAAAACTTCAAAGAGGTCATTCGTCACATCGATCCGATGGTCAAGTGGGAGTCGATGAATAAGGCTGTGCAAGACTTTGTAACTGGAGTTCTTCACGACAACCCGTCAGCCGACGAGGCACACGCAGCAGCGAGTCGTCGTGATCCGGATCTGGGACAATTCGTCCGCGTCATGTTGACCAAGATTTCGGAATACGAGCATCTTCTTGAACAACAAAATGTCGAGATCGCGAACTTGAAGCTCCAACACGGTCGGGTCAGACCCAGGACCACGGAAATCATCGAAACCAGGGACTACAAAGACGCCTTTGATCGGATGCACAACATGGGCTTTGTGATGCAGTCTGTATTTGAGTACGCCTACAAGGGCTTCCACCACCGAGAAAACGTCAGTCCCGAGGAAGAAAACTACATGAAATATCTCTGCACACTGTACGCGCGTATCGCACAGGTCATAGAGTTGGGCTGGAAAGATGACAAAAAGAGGAATCTGGGAGAACGCCCTTTGCGATCCGACTTCCACACCAACCATGTTGAGTTCAACGGGGAGGACGGTATGTATTTGACGACAGTGATCGAGGTAGCGCAGGAGGTGAAGCACGATGAAAGATGCGTGGACACTTGGAAGAACCCGCATGGGATCACGGCAGGTCTGGAGGAATTGATGAAGGTCGCGCAGCTGTAGGGCGACTTGAAGGAGGAGAAGACGAGGTCGTGCATGTGAGATGACCGCGGGATTGAGTCGTTGGGGGAACCGTTCGTAGTTGATCTGGAGGCCGTAGTTGAATGAGAAGAGCACCTGTGCTACTCCCATGCTCCAACCGAAAGTTGCTTCAACGCAAGGTACCAGTTGTCCGCTTGCGTCTTGGACATTGCCGTTATGTAGACCCTGTGAACTGAGTCTTTGGCCGGCGATTTATGTCGTAAGGCCACAACGCAATCCGACTGCCATGAGACGAGCATGTCTTTTAACAATAGCTGTGAGGGTATGGTCTTCCCTCGTCCGCTATCATCTTCCACTCGCAAGACCAGTCGCTGGTGTGATGCATCCAGTGAGGCGAGCACTTGAATCGATAGAGCGCGATCGACGACCGGTGACGTCGAAGCATACAAGCGATGATGAGATGGCAATGCCGATAGTATCGGAAGAAGAGTCTTTGGGTCGGTATGACGTTCCATTAGGTCAACTGGGCGCGGCAACTCTGCGCAGGCCTGCCAGATTATCGATTGACTGCGAGCTATAGGTAGCCAGTCTGGTGGATCGTCTAATATCTGCCTGTGCGAAGAGGGTTTCAATGTGATGGTAGGATCGATTGCTTGAACAGCTAATGGTGGTATGGCTTCCTTCAAGTGCTTTAGAAATCCAGCGGTTGTTTGCGCGGTCATAATCACGACACCATGGCAGCGATAAATGGGTGGTATACAGATTTTATATGAAGTGTGAACTGTGTAGATAGCTCAACAGTGGGCAGATCGCGGAAACAAGCGTAACAGTGTCGCTCTCCAACGTTGGGATGATTGTGAGGCCGAGCACTTGAGGTAGTTGCGCGGTGTGAGGACGCTAAGCCGATAGTGGCTAGACAGAGACCAGCGCCGGCTGTGAGCGTCATCTCAAGCGACGCGTAACAAAGGCACTTTCAATTGAATGCAAGACCGACTACTTACAACGAGGAAACAGCTATTAAATCGCTCTCATTCCTGACCATGATCATAGTATTCCCAAGTGCTTTCCGACATGGCCCTCTCCCGAGCCGACGCATTCAGAGTCGCCAGGAGGGCCACGCAACTAACGTGCGACGCGATTGAAGATGAGCTCTGCCGACGCGACGTACTTGATAAAGATTTGCAAGATCAGCTGGAGGGTCTCGAAAGGCGCAAAAAAGAGTTGGAACGCAGGGTTGAAGAGTGCAATGCACATATTATGTTACTGGAAGAGGACAACCGACAGCTAGGGCATGAGCTCGGCGAACTACCCATCCAACTCGACGCAGCCAGGAAAGACGCCACTAGCGAGATGAATGAGTCGTTGAAGAAAGCCCGTCAGGCACTCTTCCGTCACATCAATCCGGTCCTGCTTTACTGCCGCGTGCGGCCCAAGTTGCCCGCCCAAGGATCTGCCAACAAAGCACCGTCGCGGCCCATCTCGAAATGGAAGTGGAACGATTTCTCTATCATCAACGGAGCGGACGAAGCCTACAATTTCTGGCGTGTCTTTGGTCCCCATTGCCCTACCGCCAACGTCTTCGATGAACTCGAACCGATGATCCAGACCGCTTTACACGGACAGCACATCATGCTCATCACTTATGGCGAAACGCAATCGGGCAAAACCCACACTACCATAGAGCCCAACGCAGCTGATCCCTCACTCCTCGATCGCTTTGCTGCTCTCGCTTTCCCCCAATTCCAGATCCACGTCTCCTTCGTGGAGGTGTGCTGCAACACGCCCCATGATCTACTGAGACGTGAGGAAGGTAAGCTTGTAGTAGGCAACAGCGAGTCTTCGCGGGCCGATGTGTTTCTGTATTCCAACACGGGCCTCTACTTCCGCTACCAAGGAAAAGGCGGCGGATACATGACACCCACGGTGTGCGACTCGGCCGAAGAACTCAAGAAGCTACGAAGTGAATCTATCCGGCGCCGCGCCAAACATCATGACAAACCTACGTCTTCTCGTGGCCCTTCCTGGCTCGAGCTTCGGGTACACCATCGCAACGACGGCACGCTTAGGGGCATCCTTACCATCGTCGACCTCATGGGCGCGGAAGACTCTGCCAACCAGCTGGGTAGACACAAGAAAGAAGCAGAGACAGGTCGAACGGTCAACTACAAGGTGTCGGAGTATCTCAAGAGTCTGCGTGACCAGCACCGAGTTACCCGACCTTCCACACAACCTGACCGTACCCCCACACGCAGAAGCAACGCTCATCGTGAGCATCCCGACAACTTCATGCGCATTCTGATCCCCAGTTTCGAGGGTCAAATACTCGACTCGTCAGACCTGCCGCGCGTTGCTGTCCTGGCGCACATATACGAAGCTGCAGAACATGAGAAGCAAAACCAGACCACCATGGACGTGATGGAGGAATGGCGGACCAACCTGTTGGATGAAAGGAGGAGAAGTGGAACGCAAGAAGCATGCAACGAATGCGAAGCAAAGGATAGAGAGAATACGCTTCTGAAGCAACAGATGTATGAGTCGGAAGTCGAGAGAGAATCTTGCAGCGAGCTAGAGGATGTGCCGCGCGATGTGAAGGAAGAGAAGTCTTTGAGGGAACGCTTCGCCGAGCAGGGGAAATAGATTGGAGTCCATCGCCGCCTTTTCTGCATGTATGACAAAATGAGACCCTATGTCGTGTTCATACTTCTTTGCAGCCTTCTGGTGTTGTAGTACTCTTGAAGTTCTCGACAGGAGGCCATTCCTCGGATCATGTGATTCGATCGATGTCGATGATTCACTCGCTCAATGTGCACCAACAAGTCAAAATGTCCACCACCAAACTTCCTATGCTTGAAGACTTCTTTTGTATGTAAACAGTGATGAGAGCCCGGCAAGCACAGTGGAAAATGGCGGCACCTACAAAAGCTGACGTAATGCTTCCAGCCAGAACTCAAGACAACATCTCTCGAATACACACAACCAACTTGATCGTACCAAGGACCAGGAAAGCACGATGAACCAAACAAACTATACATCCCTAGGGAGCCAGGTGCTCCACGAGGCTCACGAGCAGAGCACGCAGTTCGCACTCATTGACTTGCTTCTTTTGGTCAACATGCTATCTTGTACTTTACACCACACATCACGAACCCTGTCTTACTTCAGGATATCCCTACATGAATATCTCATACAAACTGCTAGAGGCCTGAATGACTGGATCGATAAAAAGACAGGGCTAGACAAACCAGCGGAGGGTTATAAGGACTACTCGGGGATCGAAGGGTTGGCGCTTGACATCTGCAAGGGCATGGAAGTTGTGGCGCACATGAGCCATCTATGTTTTGTTGTTGCCAGTATCGCCTTGGGGTTTGGCATCGACGTCGACCGCGGTACTGTACGCATGTGTATACTGTGTAGCTGCATGGCTATTATGGTCTACGCAATGGTCGAAGCATCCGTGTTGCGTCGTCTTAATCTCCCGGAAGAGATACGCCTTGAAGGAAGTAGGATCGAGCGCTCCATGCTTTTGCCAGCGCTTCGGCTAGACGAGCATCCAACCCGTTCAAAGGATGATACTTCTTCCACCACGATCTCCAAATCACAAGACGAGACGAAAGACAAGACGGAAGCGCAATGGATACCTGTAGAAGCGGAATTCGGCACGGCTTGGGGTGGACGTCCTAGAGGATCGCAATGATTCAGAATCGGGCGTTACGTCAAGGAAAGTGCTGAAGTTTCTCTGATGCTCGTGTAGCTGATCATGGGTCAGAGCGTTGACGGAGAAACCGCGTAGTAGATCTACGCTATCTTACTCATCGGCAGCTCTTCATGATCTGTTACCGAGTTCGTCCGCTGTGGAGGCCATACACGACGATTGTCGTTCCGAATTTCCGGAGGGGCGTTATTACCCGTATCCAACTTTTGTTCAGCATTCTTAATTAGTTTAGCGTCAAATTAAATTACCTACTGCAATAGCTTTCCTTGATCGTAATCGTATGCCACGTGAGTTCTGGTCGTAATTGATCCGTCAGATATTGACGACCTCGGGATGTTGAAGGTTTGTCCAGCTTTCCTGGGTTCAGTCATGTGCACCACACCATGCCCATGGTGGTGATAGGAGTCTCGCAGTCGGCATTAGTAGGTATGCCAGTGAATTTCCAGGCAGCAGTGTGCTGGAACAATGTGGGCCGTGGTCGCTTCCTTTGTCGCAGTACCTAGGTACCTGGCGCGCGCAAGTCGCGTAAAAGTCTTGGCACGATCAGTCAAGCTTGTGCAACCTGAACCCCACCCTTCACTCCCACCACGGTCGCATTGTGCAATCTCTACTGTCACAACTCTTTCGAAAACACTCACGATGCCCCCAAAGAAGAACGCTGGGCTTCAACGGCACACTGCCGACATTGATGTCACCGCCGTCCCGGCGCGAAGGCAGCGCGGGCGACCACGAAAGATCATGGAGGATGCGCCCATGGCTTCGCCCAGCCCTCATCTACCCAAGCGACGTGGGCGTCCGCCCAACGTCAGGTCAGTAGAGCAATCGCCTGCTGCAGTCCCTGCAGTCCCGGAGAAGCGTGATCGACCCCAGGAGAAGGCCCAAGACGACTCGTCAATCATCTTGTTAGGCTACTCCAGGCCACCGCATCCGCAGATGCAACCGACAGAGAGCGCCCCAGAGAAACAAAGTAGAGGTTTACCAGTCATTCCAGCCCCCGCGGTTCCCAAGAAGCGAGGCCGACCGCCGAAAGTTGCGCCAGAATCGGAAGCTCCACCAGCTGATTCGACTCCCCTGATACCGCGAAAACAAGGTCGTCCGCGGAAAGCCATCACCGAGAAGGAAGCCACTGCTCCAGCCATTGCAATCGCGACGATACCAAAGAAGCGCGGCCGCCCTCCGAATGTCGCCCAGGCTGAAGTATCTGGAATTACTGCGGCCGTCCCAGTATCCACGGGCGCAAAAAAGAGAGGCCGGCCTCAGAAGCTCGTCCCGGCAGGTGAGCAACTTCCGCCAGTTGCGCTAGCTCGGAAGCGCGGGCGGCCGCCCAAGGTACCGATGCAAACTGAGCAGCCGGTCGATCCGATACGGGATTTAGATCCGGTAGCAGGGAAGCCTACTGATAGGAGTGCAGTATCTTCCATGATCATTGTCGATCCGTTCTCTATCAGCGAGGATGGGCGACCTGCGAAGCGCAGGAGAATGCATCATGGGCAGAGAGCACGCGCTGTCGAGTCTGTTCCCGAAGACGAGCGGCCAAGCTGGGGTACCAGATTTGTTGATGAACTTGGAGAGCATGCTAAGATGAGCGATCAGCGCGGTTCGCCGTCACGGAAGGAGATCGATACGGGAGGCGATGACGTGCAGGCGGATGTGGAGGTCGATGAAGATCTCGTAATGGGCGAAGATCCAGTCGTGAATATTCCCGGGGGCATTCGTGCGGGGTTTGAGGACAGCGAGGACGAGACGTATCATACTCCAAAGTCGAGTGGAGTGAACACTCGACACTACCATGAAGACTCCGTCGTCAGCTTCTTCGATCCGGACGTTGTAAATGATGGAAGCTCACAGGCCGTGATCTATGAGGATGTTGATATGGGCGCCATCGATGTTGCCGAGCAGGACGTCGATGGGATGCGACTCGCAGAAGAGGCGGGGAAGTTGTCGCAAGAAGAGGTCGTTAACCCGAGAGGCGCCCGTCGCGACGATTGGCCAAACAAAAATGAATGCGAGAAGCGTCCCATTTCCACCCCGCAAAGATCCCGCGAAATTTCAGAGACTCAGGAAGAACAGATATCGCCTAGAAGCATCCACCAGCTTGCGGAGGTCAGCCAAACTGTGCCAGATACAGCGCGAACAGCGCAAACCGCCACGACCAGCGTCCAAGCAAATTCAATGCCCTCACAAACCTTGCTAAACGACATCGACCGCCAGACTGCCTTTTTGTCAGTCCCAACGGCACCACTCCATCCAGTATACTTAAGATCTCCGCAGTACCTCCAGATCGCCGTACCAGACATCGATGCCGCAGCTCATCGGGGGACGCTAATCGGGCCTTTGGTTGTTCAGCACGACGAGTCTCGATATCGCATTACAGTGCATGTAGTGCGAGAGAAGAGACCTGATATCGCGTAGTCGTGGCATGGTAGAAGGGGTGCTTGTGGTTCAGAGAGGGGGACAATGGTGCGAGTGAATATGACGGGCTAGTTGCGGGACTGGCGTTGAGGGTTTCGGGTCGCGGAGGAGGAGTGGATCCTTAGTATCGAAGACGAAGTCGAAAGGGTTGGGGAAAGGTCAATCGGGATATCGTATTCGGCCGCTGGAAGTGGTATATCGTATGTCGTACGCTCTTCGTTTAGAATAGAGAGACCCATAAAACACGAGATAATGGGTGCGTCCAATGTCCTCTCTTATTGCATATGTGAAGGATGAAGTGACAGTGGGTGAAGAGAACTCGTCTTTGGGTACCTTTAGAAAGGAGCGAGATATCCTGAAAACCGGAGGTTTCCACCAAAGAACTCCTGCACTCACTCGCCATTGCACCGAAGTATGAGACAGAAGACTATGGGATCAGAAGAGGAACATCCAGCCAGCGGCGGTATCCCGCGACCAGATACATTCCGGCGTGCCAACTCCTGTCTCCACGTTGCGCCTCGCCGCCATGTGCCTACACACTCCAATCTCGATGGGCCTCAGTATCAGAGCAACTGCATCATGATGCTCGGCGTATCGATCGCGCGTTGTCGGTCGCGTTCGTGGTCCTCGGCCGTGGGCTCGAGCTGCGCTGCATGCAAGTATTGGAAGAGCGTGCTGATAGAACTGTCAGCATGGATCGTCTGATAATGCGCGAGAATTTACTCACGGAATTGGGGGAACCTCGAATATTGCTAGGATCTTTCGAGCCAAAGATTCATGCTGAAGTCTGAACAGCGGGAGGTGCACGCGCCCAAGGATGGTGTATTGTGCGGCTGTCTCCAGTTGTGCCAACACCACCAGATCATGCAATGTTCAGATTCTGCGCGACTGGAGTTGATCGCTCCTATGTCTTCTATCTCGTCGCACCCGTGGTGTGTTACTAGCACATCTCCTTGCTGTATGCACCTCTCTTCATCGGCGCATCTCCCTGTCCAAGTCAACAAGTGTCTTGTGCCATCCAAGAGCTCTTGCGCCCCATCTCATATGACTTCGCTCGCGATTCCAGGCAGTCCGACGACTTCAAACATGCTGGCTGTTGTGTTCCACCACCAGCTACATTCAAAGAAGTATGTCCTAGGGCATTGCGGCCGAAAGCAGATGTTCACGCGGTAACATTGCGCTATAGCTCTGGCCCATACGTGCGTTCATGCGGTAGCCCAATGCGTCTGAGGGGTATGGAACTCTCGCAAGGTGTATCGGTGTGTGGCGCTCGCGCGGGGCTTCGTTACGAAGGGGCCGGAGGGCATGGCGTCGGGTCTTGACAGTGTTATTGCGACAGGCTCGTGGTGGACGGGGATGCTCTCATCGAGTCACAGCATGCGGTATCGCGAGTGGTCTCCGAGTGAGTGAGGATGTTGTATGAGGGGTGCTGAGTTCGACGATGCGAAGGATGCCTCGAATGGGGGCTTGCATGCTGTCATTCCCAACATCGCTTGTGGTGGCTACTGACCCG